AGCATGTTATACAAAACATCAGGAAATGAAAAACCAGAACTGTAATCACTAGATGATTCCTCATGGTTGTCATTCTTAGATGGTGTATGGAGTATTTCATACAGTGGAATAAACTCTCAAGACCTAACCCAGACATTCCAATTTTTCTCCCCTTTGAGTCTCCAAAGCTCCTGATCCAGACTCCAGCCTGGAAGGAGGTAAGTTAACTGTGAAAAAGGGAAACCGGGACGCACAGAGGGGAGGTATTGCTGAAAATGAGACTCCAGAGGACCTAGCCCAGAATGGAGAGTAGCTGATCCGTCCATCATAGTATGCAGGCTTCCCCAGTGCTGTGTCTGGCAGCCCTCCACGCCAGCGCAGGAGGAAGATCTGATTGAAGGGAGAGCAGGGAACTTTTATGATACCCAAAGATTTCCCCAAGCAGATGTTTTGCTTCTTGGCATTGCATTCCTGGAGGGACAAAGAGATGGGCTCTCACTGTCACTGAGAATGACTCTGCTGCTGTGGCGAAACTGGCCCAGCCAAAACTGGTAATACACTGAGGTGGTTCCCTAGTTTGGTTAGTTTCCTTCTCTGAGCACATTTCTCTTTAATCACTGTGTTTTCCAGAGACCCAGTCTTCGGCTTTACCCAGCACAAATACTTTGGGTACAAGCCACAAAGAGGACTCTAACAGCAAGTACAAAGACTCTAACTCCCTGAAATTGGTATGTTTTTCTTCTCATTACCACCATTTCCACACATGTCTACAACATGGATTTGAAATGGCCTGTTTGTATAAAGACTGCACACCGTTTCAAGCCATCACAGCAATGGGTAAAAAGCATTTAAACTGTCCTTTTTAGTGCAAAAGACAGAGTTACACTAAGCCACGCTGCAATTAGGTTTGAATGTTTTTTGTTAGGACACAGTCTGCTATGCATGAGACAAAGATGAAATGCCATTCCAGGTGACTCTGAGTCTATGTGAGTATGTGTGTTTAGACACCTATTTAAAACATAACCACAGGCCAACATACCTTTTTCGAAGCACATGGATATCATTACCACACTTGAATTTTGAGTTGGAAGGAAATACAGCAGTTAACCACCTGAAATCTCAGTAGACAAAAGAACACCATAAAGTTTTACGACTGTGGGACAGAAGATTGCTAAATATAGGTTCCATTAAAAAATTAGGAACTGTTATGTTACATACTTGAGTATATTGGTCACAGTTATTACCTGTAACTAGAAGATTCCATTTCTACTAAGAAGTGAAGTAATAAATGAAAAAACACCAGTTGTTGTACCTTTGATCCCAATCCCATTGTATTCAGACAATACAGTGAATTTCTCACAAGCTTTTAATATGTAAAAGCAATGCACTAATATTCTTAATATTTCAAATGTGTATTGCTTGTCTTTCGCTAGCGTCAAAGAGGACCAGCATTCAGATGTCTGTCCATCAGTTTCTTTCTTGATCAGGTGCTCCACCAGACTTGATGGAGCAAATCCCTTTCAGGTCCTGGAAAGATTACAGCACCTTACCCTTTACTTCTAAATTAAGTTCCTCTGGGAATCACCTTGAGATCCAGAAGTCCTGAATGAAACCAACTGTCTTGAGAGACAGTTAGCGTTGGCTTAAAGTTTGCTCTCTTGAGTACTGTAGACACCACAGACAGCCTTCTGCACTGTGTTCAGCTACTGTAGTCAATGCCTGAGAAACTCTTAATGTTCCTAGGGTTTCCTAAATGACCTAGAAATAAAGCTAACAGAAGAGGGCAATATATTTCACTTAACTAACTTAATGGCATACCCGAAGTTATTTCTTTTCAAATAGCTCATGAAAGGACCTGGTCAGAATTTTGGTGGCAAAAGAAACACCTGAGCATGAATCCATTAGCTGCCCTTTAAATCTCCAGACTTTGAGTATATCAAGAATGAAACACCACCCTGGATGCTATAACCTTTACAGGTCTGTGTTTCTTCTCCAAAAAAATAAAAAGAACAAAGTCACCACTCTCCTCTCCCAACTGGAGGAAAACTCAGTAGAAACTCAACACTCTTTTTCAGTGAGAAATACCTGATGTCATATATTTTGTTTAATAAAGACTGAATGGCTGTACACTAAGCCAATTTAAGAATGTGATCTGCAACTCACAGTCTTAATTACATGGAAAACAAGTGAATCAGTTCATTAATGCTGTGAAAAGGAACCGTGACCCTACCTGCCAAGTAGCAAGGTGGAAATAATTAATCTGGTCAATTAAAAAGAAACAGATAATTAAAAACGCAAAGACTTCCAGGTGGGGCACTGCATTCAGGTCTTCAGAACTCGACAAATTCCTAATGTCGATTTTGGTCTTCTCAGTAAGTTTTCTTTGTCCTTTCCTTAATTTTTTTTCCATGGATCAAATCAAATAGAAAAATCTTTCTGAGCTCTAAAGCATGACTTGTTGCATTATGTCTTATGTCCTAAAATGTTGATTGATTCTAAAGTGCTCTAAAGTGCACTCTAGAAGTGCTCCGGGGGCCGTTACCAAGTTCCCAGTAATCATACCCAAGATTCTTTTCTCTCTTGGTGGGAGTCTGTTACATCTTACTTTCCCTTCAAATTTGTTTGCCTTTTCTGGGGGTTTTAATAATATTTTAAAGTGCTGGAGTCTGAGCCACACTGTCTGGCTTATCTAATCCCATTTATGATCCTATAACCTTGAAGCTTGCCATGGCCTGGCTGTCAGCACCAGATTCTAAATACATAGGGCAGTGTGTTTGCTCCATGGAACAGGAAATTAGTCAAACAGTTACTTTTCTACAAATGTTCATAATTTCTCTTGACATTTACAAGCCAGTAGTAGTTCCCAGACATCAAATGATCTCAAACCCCTCAGAGAGCAGTGAGTGGTTATCTATAAAGCTGCTCTGTGCAGGTATTTGAGCAGAGTGGCAGTGCGTTGGTCCATTGCAGCAGAAAGCTTGAGCACCGTCACTCAGTGCTGGTCCAGTCTATCTGTGCACTGCAGGTACAAGGGAAAAAGAACGTGTCAGTACCTTAATCCTTTTCAACTGGTCCAAGCTCCTTCTTGGGACAAATATTAATATCATTTTCATTTTAACCATGTCAAAGTTGAAAAAAACAGCATCCAATTTTTTCAATCTGCTCAAGAGAAGACTGTTTTTATGGTGAGAGTCTGACTGTAAAATTCTGGTTGCTAAGGGGGAAAAACCTCATCTAAGAAAACAAACGCTGCTGTGGTGAAATGCGGTGTGAAAGTCTGTATTTCCTAGGTGTTAGACTTGGCAAGTTAGAAATAGTGAGGGTGGAGAAAGGAGGCTTTCCGTGGATGTGCTCAAACACAGTAGTACATATTGTCAGCTCTGCAGGAGGCGTGCTGTGGCCATATGTGCGTCGCAGAGCGAAATGGAATAAACAGCTGCTGCCAGGAATCCAATTCCTGGCAAGGAGGCAAACCTAAGTCCTCCTGTTTCCAAAATAAAAATCACCAGAGGGATTCCCCTTACAGCAGTTCCAGCCAGTAGTTTTATAAAAGCATAAAACATCACTGTATTGTGGTTTATAATAATCCCTTACATTTGTAAAGCATTTTACAGTTTACAAAGTGCTTTACATACATTATCTCATTTGAGCCTCACAACAGCCCTGGAGAGTACTAAGCAAGATATTGAGATTCTCTTTTCACAGATGGGAAAAGGAAGGTTCAGGGAATGAAATGGTGAGTCTGGTGTCCTATCCTGCAGCCATCCAGACAGAGACGTCCAGGGGCTACACTAGGGGACGTGGGGAGGCAGTAAAGGGATTTGTTTTTGTGTAGTTGAGCTGCAAAAGCAACTTTACTTCTCTTTTCTCTGTGCAAGCATCAGCGTGCTCTGTCAAAGGGCTTCTCACACATTTTTTGAAGCAGCAAGGGAGGAAAGTAAGTTGTAAGGGAGCAAGCGGCAGGGGAAAATGGCACTCAGCATACTGAGTGCAGAATGTGGTTTGCCCTTGATGGCAGTCAAAGCCCCCATTTCAGTTTCAGCACATACTGCAGAGATCAGCCAAGGTCACCTCAGAACTGCACAGAGGAAGCAGCTTCGATACGATTCAGTTGTTCTTAGACACTGCCACCTTTTGGCACCCTAGCAGAAAAACAGGCTTTTTCTTCCTAGAACTACCAGGCATGTGGTTGCATAAAAGCAGATTTATAGAAAGAACCTACATAGGCTTTTATGGAGAAAACCCCTCTGACCTTAGGAATTGGTAAGATGCAGAATTGTCCTATCCTGTGAGACAGGGGATATCAATGGTGGATGCTGTGGTGGCCCTGTCGTGGGCTGCTTTAGTCCTGAGATAGAAAACTGCTCTCTGGTAGAGACAGAGACTTCTCTGACGTGTTCCTGGTTACCTGATCAGGTCTTAGGGGTCTGCTACCACGCCTTGGGATTTGTGCTCCTTGGTTCTAGCTGCAGAATATAGAAGTATAAGCTAGTGGTTAAAACACAAATCCTGGAACCAAAGTGCCAGTGCTCTATGCTCACCAAATGTCTGTGTGTCAGAGGTGTACCTCACCTGAAAACATGGGGCTATAAAATCAGCCGGGCACAGTGGTGCATGCCTGTAATCCCAGCACTTTGAGAGGCTGAGGTGGGTTAATCACAAGTTCAAGAGATCGAGACCATCCTGGCCAACATGGTGAAACGCCGTATCTACTAAAAATAACAAAAATTAGCTGGGCCTGGTGGCATATGCCTGTAGTCCCAGCTACTCGGGAGACTGAGGCAGGAGAATCGCTTGAACCTGAGAGGTGGAGGTTGCAGTGAGCCGAGATCTCACCACTGCACTCCAGCCTAGGGACAGAGCAAGACTCATAAAAAAAAAAAAAAAAAAAAAAAAAAAAATCTGTTTCATGAGGTTGTTGGAGGAATTAAATGGGGAATTATTTGTAAGGTGCTTAGAGTCATGCCTGGGGTGAGGTAAGTAGGTGTTCTATCCCAGCTCAGCTCCAGCCAGCCTCTGGCTGCTCCCTCACAATGTTTCAGTTACGATGGTGACATCCCTCCTTCCTGTGTCACAAACCAAGAGGCATTTTGCCTCATGCACCTCATGCAATTTAATCATGGATCTTTTCCTGCAGCAAAGCAACCAGGGTTTGTAGGGACACAGCACATTTAGTTGAGTTTACTTACATTGTTGATGTTAAAGCAAAAGTTGCACCCCAAAAATTTAAACAGGCAAGAAAGACTTTATTTAAGGTGATTACAATAGGGGAGAGAGGCCAGAACTCAGTCTGAATTCAACTCCACTGAAAAAAAAGGGTTGTAGAGTCTTTGAGCACCGGAGTGAGAGGGAATCATTGGGCTATCTGTGTTTGCTAATTGACTTTGCCCAAAGGAAAGCAAACTTCTCATATCTTTATGACAGGTGGTAGTTTTACAACTTGGAGCAAGGCACCCACTGAAGTTAGGCTCCTATCATGCCACAGGATATGTTATGATTCTTGAAGCTATCTTCTTTGATGATTATATTTCAAGGACATTGATTCCAGATCCTTGAGAAACACATTTGTGGGTAGTAAAACTGGCAAGGGATGTTTCGAAAGATTTACGTATATCTCAAAGGGGCAGAGAACAAATTTACAATTAAGTTTCCTAAAGAAAATAAGACCTGGGCAACATAGTGAGACTCCATCTCAAAAAAATTTTTTTAAAATGATCCAGGCATGCTGGTGCGCTCTTGTGGTCCCAGCTACTGAAGTAGGAGGATCACTTGAGTCCAGCAAGACCCTGTCTCGAAAAAAACATTGCCCTAAGAAAAGAGAGGTCAGAGCCTCAAGTCAGGAAGAAGCCTGTCTGAAGTTCAGCCATTCTAAGGGAAACATTCAGGCCATCTGAGTCCTTGGTGGTTTAGAAATTGGGTAGCAATTTGATACAGAATGCCCCTTCCACAGAATTCCTTTTGAAGATGAACATAAGAAGTACAGTGCCCCTGCTAGGCCACAGTAGGAGGCCAGCTTCTTTCAGTTACCTGAATGTCCAATCTCAGCCCTTTCTTTGTTCAGAGGGCAGCTAACTCTCACTGACTGAGAAAGGAGACAGACTTATTCTACTTTCTGACTTGACCTCTCTGAGTCCAGGTCCACTTGATAAGGTGATACCCCTTCCCTGGACCAAAGATTGACACTCTGCCCCTTCAATCCATCCAAGGCCCTGTGGTTTGGAAAGAACTACATAGCAGAGGAAAAGTCGAGACCCTGCTAATTAGGACTTTGCCCTGAACCTCAAAGGGGATGCACTTTAAAGATAAAAGCCTGATCACAGGAAGAACACTCTCTGTGGATTCCTATTCTCAACCTAGGTCACAACTAGCCCATCAGCCTCCAGGTACACACCCACTTGATTCAGGAAAACTCCGCTCCCAAACACCCGTAGTTATTTGGTCTGCAGAAGACATCTTGGACTTCAACTAAATGGTGAATGATGGCTGTTGCTCTTTAAACCTCACAAAACAATAAGATGCAGGGTGGTCGGGGGGTGGGGGGCACTTCTTGTTGCATGGAAAAAGGTGGGTCTGAAGTCTACTGGTCAGATTTTTCAATATTTCTACCAGGGTGAGCTATAGGTGTGCTCATCTCTTCACCTCTTACGCTGTGTCTGCCAGTCTCATCCAATGGGCACATTCATTTTCAGGGATGATACAGTTATTTATTTATTTAGAGATGGAGTGTTGCTGTGTCGCCCAGGCTAGAGTGCAGCGTCACGATCTCAGCTCACAACAACCTCTGCCTCCCAGGTTTAAGCGATTCTCCTCAGCCTCCTGGGTAGCTGGGATTACAGGTGCCCATCACTACTCTTAGCTAATTTTTGTATTTTTAGTAGTGACAGGTTTTCACCATTTTGACCAGGCTGGTCTTGAACTCCCGGCCTCAAGTGATCTGCCTGACTTGGCCTCTCAAAGTGCTGGGATAACAGGCATAAGCCACTGTGCCAGGCCCAGGGATGATACCGTTTAAATTGCTATCGTAAGTATTTCCCAAATTTGCAAGGCACCTTTCTCTCTCTCCTCCTTTCCCCCTTGGGGCATTAGGCCCCATTTTTGCGTAGGACAATGTTTGGTTTCTTTCCTGCTCTGCTCTGGGAGGGAAGCAGGGGAGAAGAAAGTGATTGCTGGAATATTAAAGGAGCTATATTACCCACGGGCCATCTGATCCTCCTCTGGGCCTTTTGTGTATGGGGATACAGTAGGGAGGTAGCGAGTTCTTGCTGCAGCTCATGGGGTTTTGGCTGTAGAAATGCTACAGAGCTGTAGTTAAATTGCATTTTGCTCATTCAAAGGAGCCACTTTCAAATCTTAAGGGAGACTGTGACCTGTGGAAAACCAAATGTTAAAGGTCAGCAGATGTTTGAGCAAGATGAGTGCAACACCAGAGGTCTCTGTCGTTTGCCACATTCAAGGCCTATGAAGGTAAATGCGGCATGCTCAAAGTAGCACAGATTTACACTAATCTTTGCCCAGGCAAAGTTTTCAGAAGAACTCGACTACCTTTAATGCGGATTCTAAAAGGGTGGTATGTACTTAGAGCACCTGTGGTGAAAACAACATGAAGCTCTGGTCATTTGGGGAAGAGAGGAGGAACCTGCTAAATTGTCTGTGCAAGACACAGGCGCTGACCTGGAGTTTATAAGGGGAGAAAGGACAAATCCGCTTTGAAGAGGCCCACACTCTGCAGTCTAGAACACATGGGAACTCACAGACCCAACTCACAGCAAGCCACATGTTGCCCACAGCAGGCCAACAGGCTAAGCACATTGAAAGGGTTAACCACAGAGCAGAGTAATGGAAGAAATCTATGTAGCAATGTGAACAGCCTCGCAAAAACTTCCAACCAAGACCAGCCACATAGTTTTCAAAGTCCAGTGGAAAATGAGGTCTCTTGTTCATAAATTATCAAGAATTTCAAAACAGTGACAGCAGAGATTAAACCAAACACAAAGGGGATCCTCCTATGTTTGGAACCTTGTTTGACTGCACAGGCCCCACATCCATGAAGGGGGCCCTGTGTCTCCGATAGAATCAGTCCAAACGTGTAGCGTATATCACCACAACACTCTGATGCACTGATTTGACTAAGCAGGAAAGACCTTTGTCCTCTCCGCAGAGCAGCCATGCTAACAGACAGAGAGGTGGACCTTCCTGGGATCCAGGCTGAACAGGGCTCTCCTCACTCTGAGGTGCAAACTCTGATTCTCCGTCTCCTTCTAAGGTGACGGAGGTTCCGGTTTTAAGCTATCTGCCATTATGTGTGCCGGGTCTGAAGTTGCGTAGGTTCTTGTGAAAAGATTTCTCTTACACATGATTTCTTTTCCATCTCCCCTTTTCTTAGCAAACGCATTGCTGTTTAAGAGATTCTGGCAAAAAAAATTTTGGTAAATTTTGTGTGCTTTTATTAGATATACGCTGTAATTTCAAACTGATTACATGATGTCTGGCTTTCCCTGAACCCCAATTCAATATCCTGAAAAAGAGGAAGCTTTATTGCAAAGCTGAGGCACACGCCAGGAGCGGGGTCTGGCGGGGAGTGCTGGTACTGGCGGAGCTGCTGATTGCTTTGACTCCACCCCCTAAAATCTCTGGCTGGCTGGCTCCTTCACCTCTGTGTTGCTTTTTACGTGGACTTTTTCATCCTCTTGAATTATGTTTATTTTGCAATTATGAACCTTTTTTTAAAAAGACAAATCATTCACAATGCTCCAACCTTAATACTTCAACTGTTTTCTCTTTTCCACATCCTCTTATGGTCCTGGATTAACGTTTTGATTGTTGCATTCATGCTGGAGTTACACATTTTTGTTCTGGTGTAGTCAAATTTAATCCCTTCTATACTCGTAAAGGTAAAAATCATTTACAATTTTAGAGAACAGGAAGGAACAATAAAGCCAAAAAGAGGCCTTAGAATTGCCTGCAAATAGATGATAAAGATTATGCAATAGTTAGAAACTTTTTTTCAATAAAAGACAAATCACTCATAATTCTACAACCTTATGACTCCATCCGCCTTTAAATGACTTAGCATTTAGAGGCAGTGAGCCCAACAGAATAGAACTGAAGTGATTTTAGCGGTTACGTATTTTATAGAAGATAAAACAGAGTCTCAGTGATTAAATGACCTGCCCAAAGTTGCACAGCCCCCGGTGCAGTCAGGACTAAAGCGGGCTGTGAAGGACTTTTCCACAAAAGCCGACTAATCTTATTTCCACACTAGTAACTTTCTGTGGGACATAAGTTCTTTCGGTGTCATATCCTTTGTTTGTGGAATGAGGAAGTTGGAACAGATGCTCTTAAAAATCTTTCCAACTCTAAAACTTCGAATCCAACTCAAAATTAACGCAATTGGATCCCAGCCTAGTCAGCCCAGGATTACCACACACATAATGAAAAATGTGGTAATGATCAGAACACTCACGATTTTAACAAGATGTTTCGTGCAGAAGCTAACTGTATTCTTAGAAAAGCTGAAGGCTGGATCTCAGACTGCACTGTGACAATATATCCGCTGTCAGAAGGATCCCCAGGCTGGTGCCGATACCGTAAAATGACTAACCCAGAGTAAAGGGAGGCAGTGTTCAGTAAACAAGTTGGAGGGGTGATGCTGTTTCCGGCAAAGATCCTTGAGCTTAGAGGATTTTCCAAGTAGAACACGGCTCCCTCTACTGGTAGAATTTGTGGTCCGAAATGGTGGAGGGGGCGGCGGGGGGGGGGGGAGGGGGGATTCCCAAAATCAGAACAGATTAGAAAGGTAAGGAAATGTGGAAAAACAAGCAAACAAACATAAAGTTTCAACTCTTCAGACAAGAAAACAGAGTTCTAGAAAGTTTAAAATTGTTTTCCCATAAATTTGTTAGGCAACATTCTCCTGAGGATATTTTCACCATAGGTGGTGAAAATATCTGACTAAAAATGTGAAGCTAGCTTTCTGAAAATACTGAATCAATAGTAAATAAAAATCACCCTTTTGATCAGTGGAGAGTAGGGTTCTCCCCACACTCTCACATGAAACTCTGTGTTTCATTGGCCTTTACCAAGGTTTCTTAAATTCCAGTCATTCAAGTATCACCAACATGCTTCTTGCCACAGCCTAGTACTGTGTGTATTATTATTTAATACTTTTTCTTCAATAAAACCATTTTTTTACATTTCAGCTTCATCCTAAGCAATAGAATCTATGAAATTTCAGCTTTGATGCGTTAGGTATATACGTGTATGCGTGTGTGTGTGAATGGATACATATACCATACACACGATAAAATAAATACATGGCTCTTGAAAAATGTTCATCTGCGTGCCAAATTCATCTCTGTCAATTATCATATGCATGTAACATGCTTTACAAATGTATGCATATGTGTGTGAACGGGTACGTACACCATACACATGATAAAATAAATACACGACCCTTGAAAAATGTTCATCTGTGTGCCAAGTTCATCTCCGTTAATTATCGCATGCGTGTAACATGCTTTACAAAACACTGAGGTAGTGCCTCATGTTTAAGTCATGTAAATACAGTAATCACAATGTCATCATTCTTTGAAAGGCAAGTTGTTGATTGCCTTTCTTCACCTGGTCTTTCCCTTATGCCTTATCCTCTTTCTTAAGGCCTTTCTTCATCTCCTCTCCATCCTCTGACAGTCATTTGGTTTAGTGTTCATATTTGCTTTCCCCAGTGTGGTAAGGAAAACTTCTTTCTCTACTGCCCAGTGGGGACTGTGCCTCATTTGATACTGAACTCAGGGAAACCATATTGAAACAAACTGTCATTTTACAGGATGAATAAAAAGACCTTTGTATCTGTCATTTTCTAGGAATTGGGGCTCGAAGAATATTGAAAAGTGATGTTATTTCTATTTCATCCTCATAGTCAATCTTCTCTGAGGAAATAGCACATAAACACAGAAAGGCCAATGTACAAAAACATGTTTAATAAATTATTCCTTGAGGAACAGAATAGAGTCTGTTTTTGTTCGGGCACTGTGAAGGCTGCAATACCTGCAGGGAAGAATGGAGATGAGAAAAAGGCTGATCTTCATGAAATCGTTTCCTTTATTAAACATTCCTGTGGAATTCAAGCTCTGTTTCCTCAGTAATAAAAGCGACCATTATGCATTTATTGCTGGATCAATACACTCAATTCCGTTAGTTATAACTCGATACTGCTGTGAACCCCCACTTATTTACAGTGAATTATCTGTATTGAAGCTGACCCACAAAAGATCAGTTTTGAAACGTCTTGCCACTGTAATATGTTTTCTTTGCTCTAACCAGTTATATCATCTGTGTTAGCTCTTAATAAGAAGTGAATAAATAGGCTGGGCATGGTGGCACATGCCCGTAATTTCAGCACTTAGGTCGAGATGGGAGCCTCACTTGAGGCCAGGAGTTCAAGACCAGCCTGAGCAACATAGTGAGACCCCCCATCTGTAAGATTAAAATTTAACTTTAAAAAAGAAGTGAACAAATAGCCTTTCAACATAAAATACTACACTTTTAAGTCACTTTGGACCTAAAGAGCTCAGAAATATTTGCTTCAAGTGTAAGCCATTTTGTAATAAGAAACGCATTACATAAAGTTACATAGAAAACTCTTCTCCCAAAGGAAAGAATTGCAGTGGCTAAAGTTTCATTTTGGTGACATTTGCATAAGAGTCTCAGAATCATATGAAAGATTTTTACCAAGTAGCCTATGATAAGCCAAACATGGATAAAAATGAAAGTTACAGCAGTATAACTCTATATACTTCTCATTCTGTAGAAATGTAAGCATATTTAATTCTAACAGCAGCTGATCCTGAAAAGACTGAAAAGCTAATACAAGACTCTGGGACCCATGGGGAGGAATGGGTTCTCTGCATTTACCATGGCTTCCCAAAGAGGTTCTTTCTGATGGCAAACAGATGGAAACCCCATAGAGAGGCAGATTCCTGCTGTGACTATCACAGGACTACATCGTGCTTTGTAAATGACATCAGCCAGGAAATCAGTGACTGGAGTTTCAGATTTCCTAGAAGGATTTTGCTTTGTTTTTTGTAGGTCCGATGATGGCAGGAGGAGGCAATAAATTCTGCCTTAGAACCTCTCCTGGTAGATGTTTAAAGAGATTGTATGAGTAAATCAACTGCCCCAATCCCCTGATGTGATATGGACCATCCGGTTTGAATTTGAATTTCTTGCGTTCTTCTTTTAGAGAACTGAAATAAGCCAACAACTCAGAATAAGTTGGCCTGATAAGTAGAATGCAACGCTGAGGGGGATTATCAGGAAGAACTAAAGTATTTACTTTTTATGAAGCTTTTCCTTTAACTAGATTTATAGCTGGAAAGGGCGAAAGCTGAAATAGTGCTATACATGGATTAGCATTTTTCACTAGAGAATAGTTTAGGCTGTCTCACTTCAACGCTTAGGTTCACTCTATATGAATAAATGCTGTGAGATTTTACTGAAATCACCTTCATGAATGTGGAGGAAATTCTAAAACAGGGGAATATGTTTTCTATGAGTTGCTATATGCATTGGTATTTGCCTTGTGTTTTAGCCAAGAAGCAGTAAGCAAGGTTTAGACTTAGTTCTTTGGGTGGAACAATTTAACTCTATTTATTTTTATATAAGTGAATTTTCTTCCAATGAATTCATACCCAATTTTATGTGTAGCTGTTGCAATTTCAAAAGACTTGAGCAATCAATACTAATGAAGTCAAGGTTTTGGGTAACACCTTTACAGAGGTCAGTTGATTTTGTCCTACTCACCTGAACGTAAGGAGTAATGCTGTTTGGAAATATGCATAAAGATTCATCACCTCCTGATTAATACTCAAAATGTGTGGCCTATGTATGGTGCTAAAAAAAAGTCAATGACACTTTATATGATGAGGCAGCCTTTATTTAAGGTGTATGTGGGAACTATCTCCATAGCTATACAGGTCCACTGTAAGGGATTTGGCAGTAGGGGAGATTGACTGGGCTCAAATCCACATGCAGCATGGGCAAGTGGGAATTTATAGCCAAGGAGCAGGGTGGGGGTTAACGGATAGAAAAGTACTAAGAGGAAACATTAGGACTAAGTGGGCATTCTGGCCAAACTGGCATAACAGGATTCTTGCTGAAAGCAGGCTGGGATGATCAGACATAGCTGAGGAATGGTGGAGAATGAGAGACCCAATAACATATGGAGCATAATCAGATATGGAGGAAGGGGGATTCAACTAAGCCAAGGATTCTTGTTAAAATTGGACAGTCAGGGACAAATGTGGAAGTCCAAAAGTCCAACTTTTCAAGGCCTACTTGAAAAGTTCAGGGGAGCCTGAGTAGAGTTTTGTCAAAGAGAAAATCTTTGTCCATGGTGAGTATGGTCTGGGTGCTTTTAAAGACAATAAGCAGAAAAATATGGCTCAAACAAGTTTAAACAATAAGATATTATTATTTCTATTCTACCGAAGACTCAGAAATAGGTCAGGCTCCAGGATCATTAAGGACTCAAATTATATTTCTTAAGTATCTTCAAAGTCACCTTTACCCAAAGTCACCATGACCCTATGCCAAGATCACAAACTGGTGGTACCAATTCAGATCAACAATGCTAGATGAAGAAGAGAGACTTTTTCTTATATCCTTTTGTTTCCTTAAAGGGGTGAAGAAAGCTTTCCCAGCAGCTTTACAGGAGACTTCTTGCGTCTTGGTAAGTATTGAGTCACATCCTTATTCCTAAATCAATCATGGAAAGGGAAATTATAGTGATCACTTAGAACAGTGGTTCTTAACCTTGGCTGCATTTTAAAAGCTCAGAAAAATACAGATACCTGGGTTCCACCCTTGGAAATTCTTCTTTAGTTGTTTTGGGATGCAGCCAGGGGCATGTGATATGGTTTGTATCTGTGTCCCCACCCAAATCCTATGTTCAGTTGTAACCTCAAAGTTGGAGGTGAGACCTGATGGAAAGTGATTGGATCATGGGGGGTGGATCTTTCATCAATGGTTAACACCATCCCTTTGGTGCTGTTCTCGTGATGGCGAGTTCTCACAAGATCTGGTTGTTTAAAAGTGTGTGGCACCTCTGCCCTCCCGCTCTCTCTTGGTGCTGCTCCTGTCATGTTAGATGCCTGCTCCTGCTTTGCCTTCCACCATGAGTAAAAGCTCCCTGAGCTTCCCCAGAAGCAGATGCTGCCATCCTTCCTGTACAGCCTGTGGAATCATGAGGCAACTAAACCTTGTTTCTTTATAAATTACCCAGTCTCAGGTAATTCTTTATAGTGATACAAGAATGAATTAATACAGCATGAGAGTTTTAAAAGCATCTCAGATGATTCTACTGGGCAGTCAAACATTTTGAGAACCATCAGTTTAGACCAAATGTTTGGGGATAGGGGAAGAATAAAGTTGGAGAATTCATACTGAGTTATAAACCAATGTTAAGGCTGGGCACAGTGGTTCATGCCTGTGATCCCAGCACTTTCGGAGGCCAAGGCAGATGGATAGCTTGAGTCCAGGAGTTCGAGAACTGCCTGGCTAACTTATGAAACCCTGTCTCTAAAACAACAACAACAACAGCAAAAAAGAAACAAAAAAAAAACCCATAAAAATTAGCCAGGCGTGGTGGTGTGGACCCATAGCCCCAGCTACTTGGGTGGCTGAAGTGGGAGGATTTCTTGATCCCAAGAGGTCAGGGCTGCAGTGAGCCAGATCAC